TCCATCATATTGCCTGCACCCCTTTGTCAAAAATTATTTATGTAAGTAGTACATGAATGCATTCATGTACTACTTATAAAAAATGGTTTAAAGCTGCAAATTCTTTCCTATTCCACCATTATCCCAGTGGTAACATTTTTATGTATTTCAGTTATATCTATTTAAAAATACTTTTCTCAAGATATAAAAACTCATAAAATATCTATGGTGTCATTTTGTAAATGTGTTTTTTAAAAAGGTTATATTGTGCCCTGGCTGGTGTAGCTCAGTGGATTGAGTGCAGGCCTGTGAAACAAAGGATTGCAGTTCGATTCCCTGTCAGGGCACATGCCTGGGTTGCAGGCCAGTTCCCAGCAGGGGACTCACGAGAGGCAACCATACATTGATATTTCTCTCCTTCTCTCCTTCCCTTCCTCTCTAAAGATAATAAATAAAATCTTAAAAAGAAAGGTTATATTATTTGTATCACAATGTAAAATGCATTTGACTCAAAATATTTCAGAGATCTCTATACTGACGATTTTCAATCTTCTTATGAGATACATGAGAACTAACTGCTAAAATTCTGCAGCACAGCAAAAATATTTTTTGCAAATCTGACAAAAAATATAGGTAAATTTCGATTCATTCACACTGAATGACTATTGTTCTATTGGCTATTGTAATTTTTTTTATTTGACAATCTAAGGAAAAAGAGGTTTAAAAATTCTTTTTTTTTTTAAGGTTCTATTTATTTATCTTTAGAGGGGAAGGGAAGGAGAGAGGGAGAGAAACATCAATGTATGGTTGCCTTTCGTGCGTCCCCTGCTGGGATCTGGCCTGCAACCCCAGCATGTGCCCTGACTGGGAATCGAACCATGATTGTCTGGTTCGCAGGCCTGCGCTCAATCCACTGAGCTACACCAGCCAGGGCTGTTTTAAAAATTCTTGTGGTGCCACAGTTGAAAATCACTGCTCTATGCTGATAAACATCTCTAGTCTGTTCCTTTAAACTGCTATATAGTAATCAGTGCATTGTATAGCTATGGCATTTTGTTTAGCCATTCCTCTGTTCTTAGACATCTAGGTAGTTCCTACTGTTCTTCCAGTTAACAGTGCTACAATGAACCACACCTTGTACATGATTCTGGAAACATGGGCAACTGTTTCTTTAGAGATACAGATAAATGGAATTTTGTGATTAAGGTATGTACTTTTTATATTTTATTTTATTTTTTAAAATTTTATTTTTCAAGTACAGTTTTTTTTTGTCTATTTCTCCCATCCCAGCCCCCCCTGTCCCATCTCCCCACCTCCCTCCCACTTCCTCCCCCCTAGTCCTCATCCCTGTGTCTTTCACACTTGTTCCTCAAAATCCCTCCCCTTTCCCCCCTTAAATTCCCTTCCCTCTCCCGGCTGGTCACTGCCCACTTGTTCTCTATTTCAGTGTCTTTGTTTTTATTCTGTTTGCTTGTTTTATTGTTTAGCTTCCTGTTAAAGGTGAGATCATATGGTATTTGTCTTTCAATGCCTGGCCTATTTCACTCAGCATAATGCTTTCCAGTTCCATTCATGTTGTTGCAAAGGGTAGGAGCTCCTTCTTTCTTTCTGCTGCATAGAATTCCACTGTGTATATGTACCACAATTTTTTGATCCATTCATTTACTGACGGGCACCTAGGTTGCTTCCAACTCTTGGCTATTGTAAATTGTGCTATGAACATTGTGGTGCATGGGTTCTTTGAAATTGATGTTTTAGGATTCTTGGGGTATAATCCTAGCAGTGGAATTGCTGGGTCAAAACGCAGGTCTGTACTTTTTTATATTTTAATAGATCCTGCCAAGTTGCCCTCCAAGATGTGTTTCCCCATTCCTTGGCTATCAAACACAAACTTATTGAATATAATTCCCGCCATTTTGCATCCCAGTTGTACACCAACTACAGAGAGGAATATCTGAGGTTGGTCTTTACCAGGAGTGGGGTTTAGACACATTGTTGGTGAGGGTAAGGTGGGCAGAACAAACACTTACTGTCTTCTATGTCATAGGCCACCACATGCTTTCAGTCCATCTCTATCAGCAATGGTCACTGACCAGAGAAGCCTAAGGAGATATGAAGACTAAGTTTCTGGAAAACTGGTGAAATCTAGTAAAGTATGTTAACTAGTTGTATTGTACCAATGTTCATTTATTAGCTGTGACAAGTGTACCCTGGTTATGTTAATGTTAGTAGTAACTGGAAGAAAGATATGCAACAACTCTGCATAATCTTTGCAACTTTTCTGTAAATCTAAAATTATTCCAACACAAAAACTTATAAAAGACTTGAACATGTAATAAAATAACAATACGTAGACCACATTTGGATCCCAACTCAAACAGTATTTATGGGTGAAGTGATATAATTTCTTGGGGTTACTTTAAAATACTCTAGGAAAAAATTGGAGAAAACGAAAACGACTGGCAAAATGTTGGTACATATTGAAACTGGGTGAAAGTTGCATGGGGGATCTAGTATAATAATATTCTCTCTACTTTCGTCAGTAACTAATTTTTTTCACCATAAAAGTTAAATTGATAACACTGCTCCATGAATGACTCTCCACTTTTTAATCTCTCAGGACTTTTCACTTTGATAGCACTTCCTATATTGTTTCACACTATTCACAGAACCTTTCTTCTTTCTGGTCTGAAGGCATTACTTATTTTTAAATCTCTGCACCAACCCTTTTCACCCCAATAAACACTTGTTGAGTATTAATGTGTACCAGGCCCTGTGCTACCCAGGAGACATGATTTGTAAAAGCAGATATTGTAGCTAACATAATGAACTTATAGTCCAGGGGGGCCCAGAAATATTAAGTACTTGTGCCAGTAAATGTAACTGCTATTAAAAGTGTTATGTGAGAGGACTGTGGTATCCGTTATAAAGTTTAGTCCATAAACAGAGTTGGCATGTGATTTAACTCTCAGAGGTGCAGCCTGGAATCCCTTACACTTCCATATAGGCATTCCCTTTCAGTAGAAGCCCAGAAGTCTGCTCCTTTCCCTCAAGACTTGACTCATTTTTTGGCTTCCCCACTCCCTATGCTCCAAAATGGAGTTTTGGTAAAGACTGAAAATACAAATGACCAAACCTCCCTTGTCGCCCTGCCATCCATCTATATGCAGTTGTCCACCATAGTTGCATGCATGGTTGCTGGAGCAAAGGAATGGAAATAGGAAATTATTTTGCAGTTAAAAAAATGGGATGAAAGCTTCTGACCTGTCAAAGGAATGCTGCCTCTTTACTGATGTTGCAGAAAAAGCACTCTAAGGCCTTACTCCACATTAGAGCTCTGCACAAGGTTCTCTGTCTCAGCACTTGCTTTATTGGCAACCAGGCTGTGAGCACGAGTGGCCTCTTTTCAGTTCACAGTGATCTCTGCAAACTTTCCAAAGACAACCAGTAAGTGGCCACAGCCTTGGGGAAGCCTTGGTATATCCTACCTTAATACAGGCTACTGAATAATTCTAGTCTCCGCTCTGCTTCTCCTTCACTGTGCAGTGATAGAGCATGGACTTGGGAGCCAGGAATACTTCACTTCCAATTCCAGTTAATCATTACTACCTTTGTGGCCTGGGCAAGTTATTCAACTGCTCTTTGTCTGTGTCCCAACTGCAAAATAGGGGTTAGACAGCACCTTCAAAGGATTGATATTACACTTAAATGTATAGACACAGCATCTTGATATTAGATGCACTGTGTGCTTGCTGCCATTGTTAGGGTTGAAAATGCTACTCTGGCCTAGCCCAGAGTAAAGAAACCTATCTTCATTTCCTCTCCTTATGCATGGGGCCCCTAACTCATGTTTGTCTTTCACCTGAACTCTTTGATTCCCAGCAGTGCCTACAGTAGGTAGTCCCTAAGAATGCAGTGAAAACTAAAGGCAGGAATGAGGGCCTCTACGGACACAACACTTCTGACTTCCAAAGTAATTTGCTAAAAGGAGATTTCCAATACTGGGTTAAATAAAAAAAGAATTACTACTCTGAAAAGTTCACAGGAACTTTTGGTAAATGTCTTCAGTTTTACTTTTAAGGTAGTTATACATAGTTGCCAAATTTTAAGTTTTATATCCTTGTCACAAACTTTTCAGACATGATATTTTGATTTAGTTTGAGAGAACTTCATTTAATGGTACACATTTAACATCACACTTCTTACTGGTGTTAAAAATGAGCCCATACAGTGAGGTTAAAATTATGGCAATTATAATTTAAACGTGCTTATTGTGGCACTGCTTATGAGTTAAGAAATTAAAATGAACGAACTTTTGAAAGGCTGTCCTTAATATTGGACCGTTTCTAACACATAGGCTATTTGATAGTTCATAGGACACTATTTCTCACCAGACCCCGAATGAAAAAGAGAATGGCCTGAAGTTTGGTGAAATGGCAACAGGGTGGTAACTCCTACCCCAATTTGGAAATTAAGTAGTCTCTGGGGATCATTCTGATTAGAAAATAGGTAGAAGATGCCACTCCATTCTAGAATTTAGTAGTATAATAAAAGTAATGTACACATCTGTGACTTTCGTGACAGTGTAAGAATATCTCCATGACCTGTGCACATGGGACTCTTCCATCTACACCTGAGCAACGATAATACTGTTATTTTGGGAATCTGGTGTTACACAAAAGAGGTACCTAAACTGATAGCTCAAAAGATTTAGTTGTTTTTAAATATCTGGTAAAGATACTTCAGTTGATAAGTCTGAATTTTACATGTCATAAACATCAAGTAACACCACCAACATTTTTTTAAAAAGGAAGTTTATTGGTCTTTATAATGGCTCAAATTGCAAAAAAAGCAATTGGGTAGTGGCATCAGCCTAAGACATGTCATGTGTCTTTGTCAGCTGGCTTCATAGCACCTCAGTACCCAGGAGAGAAAAGGTCTCAAAGAAAAGTAACAATGTTAGTGGTTAGGACCCCTGGTTAAATAAGACCACAATAAGTACACATGGAGAACGCTGGGCCTGTGGAGCCAGTGTTACATTGGTCCTTTAATTCTGCACATGGTGTAGCCTGTGAAAAAGACAAAATGAAAGATGTACATCTCAAACCCTTTAAGGACAAATATTTAACATGACGAGCCAGGTGTATTATCTAAAGAGTTGAGGTTCTAAAAAGCCTATTTTTGTTTACTTTACATACATATCTGTGACCTGCAATGCCTGAATACATCTTTGACTTATTGAAATTAGGACTGAACAACAACAACAACAACAAAAAAGCAAGAAAGAAAGAGAGAAAGAAAAACTCTGAATCAACGGTCTTAGCTCCATTCCCAAGAAGAAAACAAAACTCTGTCAGTGGTGGATTTCCCATTGAAATTATGTTCCAAAATAGCGTGCTAGAATGCTTCTAGTGGCTGCACCACCCAAATGGTGATACAGGCCTAATGTCTGGCCTGTGTACACCGAACATATTTTCTGCACTATATTCATGTTTGATTGCTTGATGTTAACTTGAAGGTAAATATAGCTACAGTGTTATTCATTATGAACACAGATTACAAATACTCCTAATAATTTCCATAGAGCTAAACTAAATCTCATGAGTATGAACTCAAAAATTAACAGGTGGCAAGCATGAATACTTCCCCAAAGTATTCTAGTGCAAAATGCACTAGCACTGTTGATGTTTTTCCTGTTCCTGCTCCAAAGAGATAAAAAACTTAACACATGCTTATCACTTGCAGAAAGGGATTCCAGGGACTAGCATCTTAAAAAAAACAAAACTGGTGTTGAAACCTTATAGTCTAAAATTATCTTACAAGTATATGCTGGCCCTTCATTTTAAAGCACGGTTTATAGTTAATTAAAAGCAATCAGGAGCTCTGGAACCTTATTCTGAAGAACCAGAGTATGGCACACATTTGAAATTTGGACAAATTCCTAGCAGAGAGTTACTTCTCCAGAATCTTCTGTATGAAAGTTATACTCCTTACTAGGTATATTCTCTCACCAGGACACATGGGGCAATGGGCCCATGTGCCAGTGAGGACACACCTGGAATTATGTAACTGGGTATTTTTTAGTTCCTAAATTAAGGCATATTCAAAAATTTCCATGTGCAAATTTACACCACTTTTCTAAGTTAATCACCAGGCAATTAATGCAGGTTCACAGATAAATTACTCTCAATTTAACTATATCAATAATCATGCCAATAACTTTTCTTCTATATTTTGCATAATAATGGTTTAAAAAGTGGTACAGTTTAACAACTATCATGTTCACAATTGTCATTTTCAAGGCAGCAGAAAACCAAGACATTTTTAAATGATATAAAATAGCCTTTCCTCCCATTCTTCTTTCCCAGCGCACCCCTTTAACAATTTTAAGAAAGACTGCCCTCAAAACACAAGCTTATATATTACATTCAGAACTGTGATAATGTAGGCAATTAAGAAGTTGAACTTTGCTTCCTGGTGAAGCCACATTAATTTGTTTTGAGTGAATCTGACTTTCAGTGCAGTTCCAATTCATGCTTTTAGTGATACACAATTTCCAAAATGTTAAAGTAATTTCAGTCAATTGAGCCTTCAATGGCAATGCTTATAAATTATATTTATTAGTATGGTCAAGATAAGAAAGGAGTTTAGGCTTTGATTATAAAATGCAGCATCTTTCTCTGATTCTTTTGGCTAAACTTTTCCTCTTCTTTTTTCCATTTTTTTCTTTGCTATCTTCCATCTTTCTGGCTCGAATTTCCCTCATTAAATCAAAAAATACCTAGAGAGAAGAAAAAAGGGTAAGCTTGGTACTTCTCAAAATCACAGCAGTAAACTTTGGACATAAGAATAAATATTTAGAACTCTTGTTTGAGGAACATAGGGACAGGAAACCACAAAACTGAAGTCTACTCTTCTTAGTAAGAAAATTGGGAAATTTTTGTTCATAATATAACCTGATCTTTCCATTACAGATTCTAAGATAAAACTTTAAAGAGGACTATAAGTGATGACAGTTCAAAGGTAAAACTCAATGGATTACATCTGAATTATGAAAAAGCCTAGTATGGAACACTTTGCAGATTTTAAAAACACCATGTGCATCTATATGGAATGACATGGAATAAACTACAAGAACTTTTTGTCGTACAATTTCAAAAGCAAACCACAGAAACTGTCTACATACACAGAAATACTATATATATATATATATTTAAAACATAAATACACTATACGTTTATATACTACATACTATGACAATACTAGTTATACAGGGGAAAAACAAGCCAACACAAACTCTCCCTTAGATTCTGTATGCCTGCGTATAAATGCAGGCAACCGTCTGGGAAGATACACATATTAGCAGTGGTTATCTACAAACAGGAAGGGGAGAGAAGTGAAATCTGGGTGGAGAGTGACTCACTTTTTCCTCCATATTATGAATTATTCTTTACAAAGTAAGCATATGTAAATGTACAATAAAAAAAAATCTTTTCACAGGGTGGATTTAAAATCTGCCTCTTTGAAGCATCTACCTAATGGTCTATGGTCTAATGGAATCCAGGTGAGGATAGGCATCTTGTGGGGAGCTAATTTCTATGTGCTTTCTGCAACAAACGTGATACCTTCCCATTTAACAGAAGGAAACAATACTGACACTTACTACCCCAGAAAATCTGCTATCAGGCTTATAGTAGTGGATGACATACTATATAGGATACACCAACCACTATTTTGAGTAAAATAGTGAGGAAAGAACATGGGCACCAGAATTGGCCACTCCAAGCCCTGTGAACTTGAATCAGGCAGGTACTCTCTCCACACTTCAATTTCTTCATCTAAAAAGTGAGCATGAGAACAGTATTTATGCCTCATAGTGTTTAAGATGAAATTGTTAGCTCTTGCCACAGTGCCTGGTTCTTGTAAGCAATAATGAATACTAGCTCTTGTAACATTATTTCCTCAGCAAAAAACAGAAACAAACAGGGAATAAAACATAACCTAATTCTAGAAATTGAATAGTAGCAGCAGGTTACTTTTAATTAGCCATCAAAGTACTTTATCTGGTAGCTACTCTTCAGATTGTAGCAGTACCTAAAATTATGGTTTTCAGTAAAAACTTGTACCTCAGTTTAGAAGTAGCTTCATTTAATGTTATTCTGCTTTGGAGAGGTGACCATTGACTGCAGACTGTATTTTCCAAAACTGGCCACAACAATACTTTCTGTGAGCTTTTCCCGAATCCCTCTGCTCTCCATCAAGAGGTGGAGTCTATTATCCTTCTTCCTGAACCTGGGTGGAAATCTGTGACTACCCCTATCAATGAAATGAGGTGGAAACGAGGCTATGTCATAAAAAGGGGATGTGTTTTCTGCCTGGCTCTTACTCACGTATGACAGGTGTCCTTGGAAGGCACTTTGCTGCCCTGTTGTAGAGAAAGCCTAAAAGCACACACAAAACGGTCACAGAGAGAGGAAAGGAGGTATCCCTGCACAACAACAGCCAGCATCTACTAGCTAAACCAGACATGGGTGAACAGCTTTTAAAACCAAAATTTTAGAACTCAAATTGTTGGGGTCATAATTTTAGTAGATATCAGTCAAACTGCCCTTCCACAAACATGAGTGTTTCTGTTTTTCTATATTCTATCCAACAGTATATTAGCAACCTGTTGCTTTTTTCCAATGTGATAAGTAAAAAAATGTCATATTTTAAAATTGCACTTTTTTATAAGAGAGACTAAGCAAGCCTCTTTTCAAGTGTAAAAGTAATTTGCATTTCTTTTTTGTGACACACCTGTTTAATGGCTTTGACCATTCTTCCACTGGGTGGTTGTTTTTTTCTTACTGTCCCATAACAGCTCTGATAATGCTCACCACCATACCTTCCCAGGGCCTCTGGTACTAGCAGATGACACTGAAACACTGCTAGAAGGACAGTTTCATAGCCTGGACAGTTACTGTTTGCCCATCCTCCCCACTCCCTTTAGTTCCAGTATGATTTACAGTCTGTTCTACAACCTGCTCAAGATATCAGGAGGAAACAAAGTATATGAGGATATTATATATGCTAATGTTATAACAATGTTCAATGTTGCCTTTCAAAACCCCAAACACACAACCTTAACACATATTTTCTTTAATACTTTAAAAATATCTGCCATAACTTTAGAGAAAACTGGTATACTATGTAGAAATTTTGTAACATTTATTTTGTATAGGTATTTTGAACCATAGCAATCTGATGACGTGACTAGAAAAATTCCCTCTAGGAAATGCTTTGGCTGTGTTCCATGGATTTGGGTTGTTGTGTTTTTATTTCCATTTGTCTCAAGGTATTTTTGATTTCTCCCTTGACCTTGTTGTTGACCCACTCATTGTCTAATAGCATGTTAATTAGCCTCTACATGTTTGTGTGTTTTTTAGTTTTCTTCTTGTAATTAATTTCTAGATCTATTACCATTGTGGTGGGAGAGAATGCTTGATATAATTTCAATATTCTTGACTTTGTTGGGACTTGTTTTGTGGCCCAGCATGTGGTCTAACCTACAAAGTGTTTTATGTGCACTTAGACTGTTTGTTTAGTTGCTTTGGGGTGAAATGGTCTAACATATTAATTAAATCCATCTAGTCTATTATATCAAAAAAATTTCATCAGTTTAGAACAGTAATGACAGTTTTAAGACCTTCAGTAAATAAACAAAAGAATGTCTAATATTTTTAACCTAATGACTTCTGGATCAGGGCTGGGACTCTATAAGCACAAGCAGATGAGTTCACTAAAACCCGAGGCCACCTAGAACAGTGCTGTTAGTCAGCAAGCTTCACAGGCCCACAGTCTCTGCTCCCTGTGAGATAAGAAGTATGCAAATTCTCAGATCCCACTCCAGACTAGATGAATCAAAATCTCTGTGGGGCAAGACCCAAAAATCGGTTTATTAAGCTTTACAGACAGACACTCAGTTGGGGCCTAGATGATTGGAGGCTGATAAAGAAACCCACCCCTCCCAGGTCTCTAAAAGCACCTGTGCTGCCTCAGCCCAACAGGCAGTGCTTCCTAAATACTGAAGATAGTGTCTGGCAGCAGGATGAAATGCCCCTGGGAAGGCTCCTGGGAACGAGGTAATGCTCCCCAGGAAAGGCCAATCTGAACAAAGTGAGAACCTAAGGAAAGGGGGTAGATGGTTTCCCTTTTCACTTGGAAAAACAGAGGTTGAGGGTGGAGAATGGAGTTGTACAGAGATTTAAAAATCATCTAATCTAGGCTCCTTCATCTTGGGAGGCATCTTCACTTTAAAATGGGGCAAGGCAGGTGTCAGTTCGGAGGACTTGCACAAGTCCTTCCTTCTAAATCATCTAGCCAATCAAGATAAGGAGGAAAGAAAAAAAGCAAGAATTCAGGTCAGGAATTCTATCAGCACTTAAACAAAAGTAGATTTTTGCTACAGGTGTCTCATGTTGTAATGCCTTTTGTGAAACCAAGGGACAAGGTGAAGTAAGAAATTCCTAACATGTTGCACTTGGGCTGATAAAAATCAACACGCATTAAATTGTTAAAGTCTCAGAATCTCTCAACAAAATGAAGCCAGCCTAGTTAAAACAAATCAGCCTATTTTTGACATGTGATATAGTAAGGTGAGCCACCTTTACCTTGTCAACATTAGCACGTGTTTTAGCAGATGTTTCCACATAGTTAACATTCCACTGATCAGCTCTGGTTTTTGCTTCTTCTACAGAAACCTGCCTTTTATCTTCTAAATCTGATTTGTTACCAACCAGGAGAAATGGAACATTCTCATCTTCTTTTACTCTTAAAATCTGCTCCCTGGATAAGAGAAAATGATAAGGAAACATCAACATTACCTCTGCGTGTTAAAATCACTAAATAAATACCATCTGGTTTTTGGCACTTATTTGTTTCTATATAATAAAAATCAACTCATTTATTCCATAGTAGGAAATGGGCAACACTTCTTCCTTATTAATCATTTAAGTTACACATTCACTTCACTGAAGAAAATACCCCAAGAAAGAAAATATAAAATATGGCAGATGATGTATGAAATAAAAGAATCAAATGCAACTTCCCCCTAAAATGCTTTCCAGAATCCTATCTAAGATACATGACATTTAGTCATCCTATCTCCTCAGATTCCATTTGGCTATGGCAGTTCTCAGTCTTTTCTTGTTTTTTGATGGCCTTGACAGTTTTGAGGAGTGCTGGTCAGGTAATTTGTAGAAAAATGTCTCAGTTGGGATTTGTCTGATGTTTTTCTCATGATTAAGCTGGGGCCATGGGATTTTTAGGAGGACAAAAATGGAGAGTATGCCATTCTTATTACATCATATCAAAGGGCCAATTAAATGTTTTTAAAGCCCCACACATGCCAGAAATATCTGGAAGTCAGCTCTTGAGTATAGATTTTGCATGTAGAGATAAGTTTAATGCTGTGAACGTGTCCCCAATTTTAAAGGTATCATGGCTCTGCCTTTTTTAGTCATGTGACTCTGAGCAAAGTCTTTTTTGCCTGTTTCCTCATCTGTAAAATGGAACTACAATACTTTCTTTATACAACTGCTGTGAGGATTAAACAAACTGCTTAGAATTGTGCCTAGCACACAGTAAATATTCAATAAATGTTAGCTGTTGTTACTCATTATTACTAATGCATTACATAATGATGTTTTCTTGTCAAATCAACAAAAAATTGTAAGATTTAAATTTACTATCTTACAGATGCCTCTCCTTTGAAATTAAGAGATGTTGAAAAATACAGAAATACTTTAGACTGAGAAAATTAAGTGGATTATTAGAATGACAGATCAGCAAAGTACATCTGACTTCATAGAAATCTTACCATGATGTTTGAGACTGAGTATAAATCTTCGTCAGGGCTCCTTTTGAAATTAGTGTATTTTGTGCCTCTTAGTGTTTGCTGAAAACTGCCACTACCTCCACTGCTGCTAACAATTTTGAGTACTCATAATGTAGGAGGTGGTTTAAATGTTTTAAGTGATTTATACTCATTATCTCATTTAATCCTTACCCTAAACCCATGAAATTAGTATTAGCTAATACTGTCTGTCATCCTACTAGAGATAAGAAATATGAGGCACAGAGAAATTATGTAACTTGCTTAGAGTCAGTGTTAAGTAGAACTAAGATCCGAATCTGAGAAATCTAACTCCAGGGCCCACATACAACTTCTACACTAAATATTATGGGGGCTCCCCATAATGGAATACCTATAGAAACAAACCCTTTTCAAGAAGGTTTAGTTCCCAAAAACCATTTCACAAGAGACCCCTACCTCTGATATGGAACGAACACCAAGGTGTCCACTGGGCATTATGGTGGGTCTTGACGTGACAGGAATATTTCCCCTACATGGCAAAGTTACAAATGGGCAGAGGGAAATCTTTTTATTATATTTATAGTTATCAGAGCAAACCTGTGGGAGAAGATGAGGTAAAAGAGATGTAGAGGAAGAAAGCTGATCATATAAAGAAAATTTTACTCTTCTGAAAAAATGTTTTCAATTAGTTTTGTTCAACTGAGACTTAGAATTGATACCAACAAAGTAACTAGTGATATTATAATATGATGGCATAGAATACTTTAATTATATAGTTTAAGAACAATGCCCTACATAAAAATGTTTAATACATTAAAAAATACATGGTAGTGAAAAGGGCTGTATGTTAAAAAGGAAACTTGCCACATTCCATTTTAACAGCATGAAATGGAAAGGCCGTGTGGTGTTACAGAAGACCAATCACTCGTTTAATGGGAGCCAGCACTGCAGAGTTGTTAAAATCAAGAATAGGGAGCAGATCTCTTGGGCTTTAACTGCTTTGCCATCTCTAAATGCATGACCAGGGGCAAGTCACTAAACCTTTATGTGCTTCAGTTTCTTCATTTATAAATTTGGATAATACTTTTAAAAATTTTCACATTTAATGGATTGAGCATGGGCCTGCCAACCAGACAATCACGGTTCAATTCCCAGTCAGGGCACATGCCTGGGTTGCAGGCTGGTTCCCTGCAGGTCAGTTCCCAGCAGGAGACGCAACGAAGGCAACCATACATTGATGTTTCTCTCCCTCTCTCCTTCCCTTCCCCTCTAAAGATAAATAAATAAAATCTTAAAAAAAATTTTTTTCACATTTAAGAAATCACTAACTTTAAGCATTATGTATTTTATGCACCACTAAGAAAAACTGCTTCCAATTATAACTTAAGATGTCACACTATATATAAGAGACAGTCCTGAGTTAAGCAGATGACAAAAAGTAAGAAATATGTGTCTCAGAATCTGTGAAATACCTCACAGATCTGCCTCATCTATATGCACTAATAATGCTTCAGAAAGCATATGGCACATGGTAAGCACTGTATTAGGTAATGTTGTTTTTCTAATAATAAAATATGGACCACACCTATAGTCACCCCATCCTTCACTGATTTGTATTAACCTTACATATTCTTTTAGAAAGGAAAAATGTTAATGGAGCATCATATTAGGGTGACACAGGCTAAGATGTACAGTTGTACAGAGAACTATATTTCCTACTACTCACATGATTTCTTGCAAAAAGCATGTCAACACTCAGCATTATTGCTATTAAATTTATGATGTATTTGTGAAGAGGATTTTGGCCAAACACAATCTTTCCCAGTGCTGGTAACACATTCGCTATTACTTTCTTACCCAGTTTCCTTTGTGACCAACGGCCTAAACTAAGATGTTAATAATTCCTGACTTATCACTAAGTCACACTAACCACCAGGAATATAAGATTGACTCTTTTTTGTGACTTTAGCACTTCTGGTCATATTATATATAATCACTGATTTATTTCTTAATAACTACCTACTAAGCTACCATGAGTCAGGTACTTCAGAAGAACTATTACTGAAATTACAACATGATTAATGCTATCAGAAACATGGCCATGGGAAACTTGGACCTACTGGGTTCAGAGGTGAGAACACAATATTCTTTAAGTTAATAAACTGGGAAGAAAAGTAAGTTGGGGTTTTATTAGCTACTTTCCTGGATGTCAAAGAAAGGTAATGCCATGTCTAGAACATTCATACACATTTGCTTAATGTGGTGTTCCCTTCAAATTGAGTTAGAGATGCTGCCACAGAATTTTAGAATAGGAAAGTAACTTTACAAAGTGGTCCAGCTTCTTCATTTGCTACGTAAGGAAAGTGAGAATCAAAAAAAGTAAGAGTCTTCTAACATTTCTACCTAATGTTTACTAAGCATTGTATGTTATATGCTAGCAATTGTGCCAAATATGGGTACTAGAAACACTGAGATGGATAAAAAATGGGTTCTGCCTGGCTGGTGTAGCTCAGTGGATTGAGCACAGGCATTCAAACCAAAGGGTCACAGTTTGATTCCCAGTCAGGGCACATGCCTGGGTTGCAGTCCAGGTCCCCAGTAAGGAATGTGTGAGAAGCAACCACACATTGAAGTTTCTCTCTATTTCTCCTTCCCTTCTCCTCTTTCTAGAAATAAATAAATAAAATCTTAAAAAAAAAAAAAAAAAAAAAAAAGAAGAAGAAGAAAGAAATGGGTTCTGCAATCAAGACTTTTTACCGAGTCAGGAAAAACACATATAAATCAAGCTCACTATAAGAGTGGTTAAATGTGCTATTGGAGCGGGGCAAGAAGATTGCATACAGAGATGAAGAAACAATGGATTCTGTCTTGGTGGTGGAGGACCAGGAAGACTAAATTAAGGAGCTAACATTTGTGGTGTACTTTGCAGGTTAGACCATGTATACTGCTGACAGTCTCAAAAATCCCCTTCAGATAATCACTGGTCAGTTATTAAGAACTGGTCAGTTATTAAGAAATTTATGGGAAAGGCAATGCATTGGAAGTACAATAGAAGGGTAATGAATGATTCGCTGTAATGGCAATAGCCCATGGTTCTTTTTCTTGGCATAAAAATACCTTATTTCCTTGAAATACCACTTTGGCTTTGGTGACTATGGTGATATAATTTATTTTATTACCTGAAATAGGACCTGCTATGACATAATAAGCACTTAAACATTTGCTGAATGAATGAATCATTGGCATTTATATAACTTTCAGTTTGTCTCCTAACATTACAAGTTACCAGAATCTGCTACCTTTTGCACTTTATCACATACAAAATTGCTCCTTACAGAAACCAATAAACTTAATTTTACAAATAAATCTATATTTTTAAAGGTTCTCAATGATATCTTTTGTAAGAATGTTCTCTTAGAACCCTTTAAGTTCTTGATACCTTCAATTGTATACAAAAAGGAATACTTTGTATAAGCCCAGGTTTAGTTTTTTGCTCAACCACCTGAAATGACTTCTTTCCTCACCTGTAGAAATCCTTCTTATCCTTCAGGCTCATCTATTTCATGAAAGCCTGTCAGTTCCTCTCCCCTCCTGGATCGCCTGTAATGGTAACTTTTCATGTCTCCTACTTGTAACTAATTTGCTCTTGGTTTCATGCCTTATTTAATTTAACTAAGCTGAGTGAATCTTAAAAACAGGATGTATATATTACATGCTTATTTGTGCCCTCCATACCACAGTAGGTGCTTAATACAGGAATAAAGACATATAATTAAAGAATACTTTTGATTATGTAGGTAGTATTTATGAGACTGCTCAGGAACTTATTTATGCCATGTTTCTTTTAGGCATAAAGATAATTGCTCTCCCGATCAAATCAAACTGATGACAGATTTTGATTAAGCAAAGAGTGATATAAAAGAAGTACATAACACAAGCTAGTGTGCCAATCTATGGTATTATTATTTTTATTAAAAATTTCAGTGCATGCTGTTAGAGGACTATATTGTGAGGAAGATGGCAATGTGTCTGCTGAGCATTACACATATGCTGAGAAAACAGTAATGAATGAAGAGAGATTTAAAATCGGGATCAGAGCTCCATCATGGGATCCAAGTATCAACTATTATGGCAGTAGCAGTATTATACTCCAAAGAGAAATACTTCCATAATGCATAAAGAAACTTTGGGTAAGGAGGCTGCCACAAACTCAAGTTTAATACACTGGGCACTGGGATAGCATCTGAGTATAAGTACATAGTAGATAGAGCCATACACTGATATTAAGAGGGAAGAACCACAATTAGACACAGAGTGAAATGCTACCTCTGGTTGTTCACTTGTTTCTGGGGAAAGAAACGGTTATGCAATAAGTCAGAGCAACATCACTCCCTGACATACCTGAAGTCAGCTGTGGCCGCAAAGGATTCCATTTCCGTAATAGAGAACACACAAAGGAAACCTTCTCCACTCCGGAAGTAGTTGTCTCTAATTGCAGCATAGTCCTCCTGCCCAGCTGTATCCAAGATATCAATCTGTACTTCCTCTCCGTCCAGCACTACCTTTTTCCGGTAGCTGTCTGCTTTGGTAGGCTCATAGTCCTCCACAAACTAGAAAAGATAAAAAGCATATTCATGTAAAAATTATTTTTACTTTCCAAAACTTCTGATTTTGAAATGTAGAGTCACATGAAATTGCCCAAGTAGTACAGAGAAGTCCCATACCCTTCATTCAGTTTTCCCTAATAGTAAAAACAACATTAATTTAAATTTCCTTTTGCTTTTTATTGAATTTATTGGGGGTCACACCGATTAACAAAATTATAGACGTTTCAGGTGCACAAGTCCAGCACACTTCATCTATGCACTGTATTGTGTATTTACCTCCCCAAGTTTCCGTCCATGACCATTTATTCCCTTATACCCTCCCTCTTCCTCTCCTAGCCCCGCCCCCAGCAATCACCACATTGATGTCCATGTCCATGCATCTTTTTTTTCTCACTTGCTCGCTCTCTTTTTGTTCAATCCTTCCAATTTAAATTTTCATTTTAGACAATTTGGCAGCTTCCTCATCTGCAAAAAGTGGGGTTGATCTACTACCTCTAAGCTGTTTACAGCTTGAAATGTGTGCCTTTTCTCTGCCTTAAAACACTACCTGTAAAAACTATTTCACAAATATAGGCACACCTTGGCAATATTGCAGATTTGGTTCTAGACCACCACAATAAAGCAAGTCATAGCCTTTTTCTGGTGGAAAGGTTTTGTCTTTAATTTGTAAAAAACATAAAACACATGAAGTACAGTAAAACAAAGTACAATAAAATGAAGTATGCTTATATTTTATTATATGTGTAAGAATCCCTTTCTGTGTGACTCTAAATATCAATTTTCATGGAAGAATTGTGAAAATAACTTGAAAGTAAGTCCATATTTAGGTAAACACTGAAAGTATTATACCATTAAATCTTGAATTTTGAGATATGAAAAATACCAAAAGTTTGAGAATAAACAAATTTACATTCCTATTTCTAATTTCATAAATCTCACCTTGATATTCTGATCAGTGCATTATTGTTAGTGTGGATATATATATGAACACACTTTTGTGGGGTTTTTATTAGTTACTATAAATATTTCATTTTTGAATATTTCTTATTTATTTGCTCAATATCTGTATCTTCCTGCTAGAATGTAACCCCAGGACCCTGACTAATGGTCTCATCACAATATCTCCAAAGCCCACAATAGTGCCTGGTACATAATAGACACTCAATAAATAATTATTTTTAGCCCTGGCTGGTGTGGTTCAGCGGATTGAGTACTAGCCTGCGAACCTAAGGGTTGCCGATTTGATTCCCAGTTAAGGCACATGCTTGGGTTGCAGATACCCAGTGGGGGTCTACACAAGAGATAATCACACACTGATGTTTCTCTCCCTCTCTCCTTCCCTTCCTCTCTCTTTAAAGAAATAAATAAAATTTGAAAAAAAATATTTTTAGAAAATGAACACTGTATTTGTAACTGTAAAAAGCTACAGAATATTCTACTATATTTATGTGTTAATGTTTTATAAATATTTATGAACATTAAATAAATATTAAATATTTATGAATATTAAATGAAGGCTTTACCATTCATCAAATGTCAGAAATAAGAATACTCTTATTTCTGACCTCCTTATTGTCAAGGAGATACATTTAAGATTAGTTTGAAAGACGAGTAGCTTGGTTCCAGTCAAGATGGCACAGTAGGTAAAAACTCTGTGCTCACCTCCTCCCACTACCATACCAAAATTACAACTAAATTATAGAACAGCCACCTGAAGCTAGCCACACACAAATCCTAAAAGTAAGGATGTAAAGAACCCATGTCTGCACTGGTAGGAGGGGCAAAACTGTAAAATAGGTGTGGTGATTAAGTATCAGGCCAAGTATCTTGGCTGTGGAGGTTCCTGTGAGGAGCAAGTGGACCCAGCCTCACACCAGGCTCCCCTGACCAGGGAACCAGTATCTGGAAGAGTCTGCATAACATCTGGCAGTGAAACTAGCAGGTACTGTGTTTGAGAATAGGGAACTACTGGAGACTGAGGTGGGTGAGTCTCTTAAGAAGCCTGCACATAGACTCACTTGCTCACAAACAGCTGCTCTGAGCTCCAGTGCAGGGACAGCAACTCAAAAACCTTCAGCAATATCCAGGGAGGAACTAAACTGGCTAACTTCAGAAGAGGACTGGAAAGGGAGAGGTCAGGGCAATTGTCTCCAAAGACAGAAGCCACTGGTTCTTGTTGAATGCCCCCTTCAACTTAGCTGGCCAGGCACAGGTGGGAGCCAAATCTCTGCTCTCCTTTAACCTGGCTAACCCCACCCTGGTGATTCCCTAAGACTCCACCCCCTCAACTCACTTGCCCAGGTCCAGACTCTTCTAGTGGCTCCTCCAGAGAAGTACCCTGCCTTGGTTACTGCTTTGACCTTTTGCAAAATGTCTCAAAGAATCACAAACCCCAAAGAAGCAGCTGCTGACCATGGCATGTGATGCAGCTCTTATAAGTAGCCCCAAGCCCAGCAAAAGTGGTTACCAGTCTCAACTTGCATTGTTGACTCTATAGAAGGCTCTAGGCCTGGCATAAGCAGTAGCCAGTGCTGGCCTGGAACAGATCTTCAACTAAGCAGCCACAAAGCTGGCAAAAGTGGTATCTGGCCTCAACTTGCACTATGGTGACCACCAAAGGGCCCCATGACTGAAACAAGTAGCATCCAGCCTCAGTAGACAGTGGGGCCTCTCCCAAGCACCTTTAAATCCAGTACAACCAAAAGCAACCAGATGCAGATCATTTTGAAGCTTCTACCTGGAGGCTCCAAGCATGATCTAAGAAGCAGCTGACCTTGGCTGTGCACCAGAGCCCTTTCCAGAAGGCTTCATACCCAACATACCCAGTAACCAGTGTCAGACCATACCACACCATTACCCTGCCAAGCTCTGCAAATGACGAACCCAAAGGCCAGACTCACCTGGAGTCCGGCACCAGTGCCCCACTAGAGTAACTCCCGCTCCAAGTGTCAGTCAAGACACAACAGCATGACAGCTGTAGTCATGGCTACCCTCACAGCCTACCCTCACAGCCTGTCAGCCTGGGCATCAACCCCACCCACTGATGTGCAACAGCGAGCCCCAACTACAGCAGGTGGGCACACATAATCCACATAGGGGACATTCCTGAAGCACCAGGTACAGGTAACCAGAGAGACTGCACCACTAGCCCCATAGAACAACTTCCACATAAAAGGTCACTATGTCAAGACCAGGAGACACAGCAAGATCTACCTAGCAAACAGACACAAACATACAGAGATAGCCAAAATAAAGAGACAAAAAAATTTCCCAGATGAAAGAACAGGACAGAACACCAGAAAAGGAACTAAATAAAATGGAGACAATCTACCAGATACAGAGTACAAAACACTGGGTAGAAGAATGCTCAATAAACCTAGGGAAAGAGTAAATGAACTCAGAGAGAATTTATACAAAGAAATAGAAACCATAAAAGAGAAAGAACCAGTCAGAAATGAAGAATACAATAAATGAAATGAGGAATGTATTAGAGGGAGTCAATAGGAGATTAGATAGATGAAGCAGAGGGCGGAATCAGCAATGTGAAAGACAAGGTAGAAGAAAACATCCAATCATAACTGCAAAAAAGTAAAAAGAATAATAAAAAAGAAGAGTTTAAATGACCTCCAGGACAACATCAAGCATAACATTTGCATCATCGGTACCAGAAGGAGAAGACAGACAGCAAAGAACTGGAAACCTATTAAAAGAAATAATGACTGAAAACTTCCCTAACCTGGTGAGGAAAATAACACATATAAGTCCAAAACAAGATGAACCTGCAAAGGCCATACTAAGACACATCATAATTAAAATACCTAAGGTTAAAGACTAAGAATCTTAAAAGCTGCAAGAGAAAGACAGTTACCTACTAGGGAGCTCCCGTAAGACTTTCATTTGATTTCTCAACAGAACCTTTGCAGGCCAGAAGGGATTGGCACAAAATATTCAAAGTGATAAAAAACAAGGACCTACAACTAAGATTACTCTAATAAGGTTGTCATTTAGAATCAAAGCAGACAAAGAGCTTCTAGGTAAGAAAAAGCTAAATGTCCTGGCTGCTGTGGCTCAGTGCATTGAAGGATCCTGCAAATTGAAGGATTGCTGGTTGGGAGTGCGAGAAAGGCAACCAATCACACACTGACGGTTCTCTCTCCCTGCCCCTCTCTCTAATAAATATTTTTTAAAAAGAAACCTCCACCCATTGTTAAAAAAAAAAGGAAAAGAAAAAAAGGAGTTCACTAACACAAGCCAGGATTACAAGACATGTTAAAGGAACTTCTTCTTTAAAAGAAAAAAAAGATCAAAGATATGAATACTAAAATGGCAATAACTACAAAACTATCAATAATTACTTAAAATGTAAGTAAGTTAAATGCTCTAGTCAAAAGACACAGGGTGGCTAAATACATTAAGAAAACAAGACCCAACACATGCTACCCATAAAAGACCCATTTCAGATTAAGACACATGTAGACTAAAGTAAAAGGATAGAAAAGATATTTCATCATGCAAATGACAGGAAAAAAAAGCTGGAGTAAGAATATTTATATCAGAAAAAACAGACTTTCAGACAAAGGCTATAAAATGAGACAAAGAATAGTGTTTCATAATGATAAAGGGATCAATCCAAAAAGAGGACAAAACTCTTGTCAAAACATCTATTTAACTAATAAAGAAGCATGTAAATATATAAAGCAAACACTGATGTACATAAATGGAGAGAACAACAGTAAGATAGTAACAGTAGGGAACTTTAACACCCTACTGACAACAATGGGTTGAACATCCACGTACAAAATCAACTAGGAATTTAACTGATATTTTTGGAGCATCTCACCCAAACAAGGCAGAATTTATATTCAAGTACACATAGAATATTTTCCAGAACAGATCATATGTCACACGACAAAACAAGTCTCAAGGTTAAGATAGAACTCATATCAAGCATCTTCTCTGACCACAGTAGTATAAAATTAGAAATCAATTACAAGAAGAAACTGCAAAACACTCAGGTGGAGACTAAATAATTTGCTACTAAATAATGAATAAGTCAATAATAAGATCAAGGAAGAAATCAAAAGATACATTGAAACAAGTGAAAATAAAAACATAACAACCTCAAATCTATGGGGCACAGCCAAAGCAGTTGTAGAGGGTAAATTATAGCAATATAGGCCTACCTCAAGAAGCCAAGAAAGCCCTGGCCAGGTCGCTTGGTTGGTTGGAGCACTGTGCCCATATGCCAAGGTTGTGGGTTGGATTCCCCGTCAGGGCACACACAAGGATCAACCAATGAATGCATGAAATAGTGGAACAACAAATCGATGTCTCTCTCCCTTCTCTCTCTCTAAAATCGATAAATAAAAATTTTTAAAAAGGACGCATGAAATATTTTAAATAAACAACCTACCCTTAAACCTAAAGGAACTAGAAAAAGAAATAAAGCCCAAAATGGAAGGAAACGATAAAACCACAGCAGTAAAAAACTTAAAGAGTGTAAAAAATTTTAAAGATCAATGAAAGCAGAAGCGGGTTCTCTGAAAACTGGAACAAAACTGATAAACCTTTAGCCAGACTCATCACAAAGACTGAAATAATTACAATCAGAAATAAAACAGACCTAACAACGGACACCACAGAAATCCAAAAGAATTTAAGAAAATATTAAGAATTGGACAAACTGGAAGAAATGGAAAATTCCTAGAAACATACAATCCTCCAAAAACTAACTGATGAGGAAGAAACAGAAAATGTGAACAGCCTCATAAATACTGACGAAATCAAGTCAGTAATCATAAACCTCCTAGCAAGCAAAAGTCTTGGACCAAATTATTATAAGCAAACATTCTAAGAAGAATTAACACCTATCTTTTTCAACCTATTCTAAAAAACTGAAGAGGAAAGGCTCCTAAACTCATTTTACAAGGCCAGCACTGCCCTGATAACAAAACCAACAAAATCACTATTTAAAATTTAAAAAAGAAAAAGAAAAAATGAAAACTATAGGCCAATATCCCTGATGAACATACAGAAAAATCCTCAACAATATTTTAGCAAGCTGAATTTAATAATACATTAAAGATCATACACTATGATCAAGTGGAATTTATTCCCAGATGCAAGGCTGTTTTAATATTAACAAGTCAATAAGACAGATAGAACACCACATAAATAAAATGAAGGTTAAAAATTATATGCTCATATCAGTAGATGCAGAAAAAGCATCTGACAGACTCCAACATCCATTCAGCATAAAAATTCTCAGCAAAGTGGGGATAGTGGAGAACAGATCTCCACATAATCAAGGTCATACACGACAAACCCACAGCTACCATCATACTGAATGGGAAAAGTTGAAAGCTTTTTAAGACCAGGAACAAGACAAGAATGTTCACTTTCACCACTTTTTTTCAACATAGTATTGGGAGTCCTAGCCACAGCAATCAGATTGGGGGAGGGGGGCAGGGAAGACATCCAAATTGGAAAGTAAAAAGTAAAACTGTCATTATTGGCAGATGACACAATACTACATATAAAGAATGTGAGTCAACCAAAAAAACTACTAGACTGATAAATAAATTCAGTAAAATAGTAGAATACAAATGAAAGGATATACCACACTCATGGATAGGGAGAGAATTAACATTGTTCGAATATCCATACTATCCAAAGCAATCTACATATTCTATTGTAAATGCTATCAAAATATCAATGGCATTTTTTCACAGAACTAGAACAAATAACCCTAAAATTTGTAAGTATTCTCAAAAGAGCCAGTATAACCAAAGAAATAGAGAAAGAACAACAAAGTTGGAGGTATCACACTACCTGCTATCAGACTATACTGTAAGGCTACAATAATCAAAACATGGTACTGGCATAAAAACAGACACATAGATCAATGGAACAGAATAGAGAGCCCAGAAATAAGCCCATGCCTCTATGGTCAGCTAATACATGAGAAAGGAGGCAAGATTATTTAATGTAGTAAAGACAGTGTACTCAATAAATGGTGTTAGGACAAATGCATGCAAAAAACTGAAACTATACTGCTTTCTTAAACCATACACAAAAACCCCTCAAGTGAATTAAAGACTGAAATATGAAAACCAAAACCATAACATTCTTAGAAGAAAACATATACACTGAATTTTTTGACATCAGTCTTAGCAATACTTTTTGGGGGGTATATGTCTCCTCAAGCAAGGGAAACAAAAAACAAAAACAAATGCAACTGTGTCAAACTAGAGTTTTTTCACAGTGTAGGAAACCAACAAAACACAAAGACAACTTGGCAAATGGGAGAAGATATTTGCTACTGATATATACAATAAGGGGTTAACATCAAAAATTCATAAAAAACACATACAACTTCATACCAAAATCCCCAAACAATCCAATTTAAAAATGGGCAGGGGACCTGAATAAACATTTCTCCAAAGAGGACATACAGATAGATGGCCAGTACACATAAGAAAACACGTTCAGTGTTACCAATCATCAAGAAATGCAAATTAAAACCACAAGAAAATAACCAATAAATCAATGAACAAGGGTTGACATGAATGTACAGAAAAGAGAGCTCTCATGCACTATTGGCAGGACTCTAAATTGGGGCAGCCACTGTGGAAAACAGTAAGGAGGTGGTTCCTCAAAAAATTAAAAATAGAACGACCATATATCCCAACAATTCCACTTCTGGGTATTTATCTGAAGAAATATTAACTACTAATTTGAATAAACATATGCACCCTATGTTTACTGTAGCATTATTTACAATAGCCAAGATATGAAAGCAACTTAGATGTCTACTGATAGATGAATGGATAAAAATATGTTACATATATACAAAGGAATATGACTCAGCCATAAAAGAGAATGAAACCCTGCTATTTGGGACAACGTGGATAGACCTAGAGGGTAGGACGAAAAGTGAAGTCAGACAGGGAAAGACAAATACCATACGAGTTTACTTATGTGAAATCTAAAAAACAAAATAAATGAACAAACAATACGGATACAAACTCATAGCTATACACAGAACAAATTGATGGTCTCTAGATTGGAGGGGGGTTTGTGGAATGGGTACAAATGTAAAAGAGATTAAGGAGTACAAATTGCCAGTTATAAAAATAGTTACAGGGAGATAAAGTACAGTATAGGAAACATATAGTCAATAATATTTTAACAACTATGTATGGTGTCAGATGGGTACCAGACTTATCAGGGTGATCACTCTGTAAGTTATTTAAATGTCTAATCACTATGGTGTACATGTGAAACTAATATAATATTGTGCATCAACTATAATTGAAAAATAAATTTTTAAGTTTTTTAAAAGACGGCAATAATTTTTTTAATCAGATTTTATTTATTTATCTTTAGAGGGGAAGGGGGGAAGGAGAGAGGGAGAGAAACATCAATGTAAGGTTGCCTTTCGTGCGTCCCCTGCTGGGAACTGGCCTACAGGGAACTGGCCTGCAACCCAGGCATGTGCCCTTACTGGGAATTGAACCACGACTGTCTGGTTTGCAGGCCTGCGCTCAATCCACTGAGCTACACCAGCCAGGGCAAATATGGCAATAATTTAAAAAAGGAAAAGACACTGTTAGCTAAGATGCTACAAAAAGTACTTTGTGGAAAAATGTCTTATAAGCCTTAATTTTTAAAAAAAGAAACCATTATTCTTACCATTTGACAAAAGTAAATAATCTGTACACTTTGATTTAAAACAATGAAAGGGTAGTTATAATATGTAAATGAACAGTATGGACAACAGAATTGAACAGATAAATTAGTAATTTCATTTAAAGCACTATTTCAATTTTCCCTCTGTCCACATTTTTTAAAAAGATTTTATTTATTTATCTTTAGAGAGGAAGGGAAGGAGAGAGGGAGAGAAATATCAATGTATGGTTGCCTCTAGTGGGACCCATGCTGGAAATTGGCCTGCACAACCCAGGCATGTGCCCTGACTGGGAACTGAACTGCAATCTCTTGGCTCACAGGCCTGCGCTCAATCCACTGAGCTACACCAGCCAGGGCCACATTTTTATTATAGTCACCAAGTGGGACAACTCATGGATTTGAGAATTTTGTGTGTATTAAAAAAAATGTTATAGAAGGAAGCAATAGAAGGAAACATCGGGTGGTAACAGACTGGATAACCTTTCTGAGGGTTTGTTTCCTAATCTGTAAAAGGGCGATACCACTACCTATCATACAGGACTATTACAAGGATGAGGTAAGAAAGAGTAATGGCAAAACCCTGCTTCTACGGGGAGGAAGAAGAATTAAGGATAAATGCTTAAATTAGATTACCAACTCCTAAATCATTTAGAATTGATAAGAGTCTTCTATGGAAAGAATCTGGGTTAATAAGGTCAGATATAAATACATGATAGACACACATCTGTTAACCTGTCTAGCAATTATATTTTAGGGATAAAGCCTTTACCTGTTTAATAGTGAATACAGTGCCATGCCAAAATACACAATAAACAATATTTTCACTGAAGTTATTAAAGGACACCTTATGTATGTTAACCTCAAGTCTCAATTAGGTACTATACCCACTGGTTCTATTAATTTAAGGTGAGAATTGCCATGGAAACACTAAAAATTAATAAGCCAGGTTAGATTGCTAAGAAATAGGTAGTATTTGCAGTTTTGTTTTGTTTTTTAAAGTATAAGGTTTTTTTTTTTTTTAACAAACCTTGAGTTACAGGTTATATCAAGTTGTTTGTAAATGTGGCTGTAAATGTGGCTCTAAATTTAAAAATAAAAAATGATGAATAGCTTTAAAAAATGCAAGTTTATCCAAAATAGCACCAAAACTATGGTAGAGAAATACTCTCTGGAAGCCCCAACTTTTGATATCCATTATAAAATCAGCACATACCTCATCATACATGAACTGTAGAGTCAGGGCGGACTTGCCAACACCACCACTGCCCACCATGATGACTTTGTGTAAAGCCAAAGAATTCTGACCCTTGGGCTTATTTGTGGCCATCTTATATCACCGAGTTCTCACCAAAGGATCAAGAAGAATCTAAAAGGAATGAGAGAATAAGTAATGCTTAGTACATTCATGATGTCCTTATGCTTCAAGATGCTAGTTTTTGTCCTGTGGTGATTTTAAAGATGGCAAATGAAGTATACTCATTTAAGGGAAGAATCATATCAGAGAACACCATGGCAATAAAGCAAATATGTAACTCAAAAGCATTTCTCTTATAATAGTTTTCAATAATGAGCTATGACCAAAAGTAGGAATTTCCCAATGCAACCACATTGATGATAATAGAGTTGTATGAGCATATAATCACACAGATTATGAATACTGGTTAAATTCTGATCACTTTGTTTTCATATTAACCTCTACTGGCAGTAATTATAGAGACGTTTCTTCTAATTTCAGTAAGAAACTAAACAACAACAAAAAAATTGTCAATTGAAAGGCTTACTTACTTTCAGTTTAGAAAAGAAGAAACTGCATTCCAACAACTTGGTAGTAGAATTATCAATAGAATCCAACACCATCTATCCCAATTCTCAAATACCCTATCTCTGGAACATCCATGTACCTTGGGCTGAATGGCCAATAAACAAATGTCTGAAGTCCTGGATCTCATGTGCCCTCCCTTTCCTCGCAACATGCATCATTTGTTTACTACATGTATGTGCTCAGTGTTGAAAGGCCAGGTTCCTCCAGGAGCAAAAGTGGTGAGGTATATTAAAGGCACCCAGTTACCACTGGCCACGGTGCTAGGCCTTAGAAGTGGAGGCCATGAAGTCACAAGAAATACTGTGTCTGTAAAGACCCAAGCAAAGAGATCTTTTGTTATAAGATCCAGGGGACTGTACCCTTCCTTCTCAGTATCTCTTTGACTTATTTTGGCCACAGATAATAGTTTTCCCAAGTTGTAGCTCACAGGACAACACTCCATCCTGCCTACCTCCCTATCTTGTGTCAATCTCTCCCAGCTTGGCTGCATCAGACAGATGCTGGTCTCCCTTAGTTCTTCCTATGCTCTTCTCCATCTCTTGGCCTTGTTACGCAGTTTCTTCCAGTTGGCATATTCTTATTCTAGCTAACTCCTCTCAGTTTTGGGGTCTCAGCGTTATCTGAAACTCCACCTAAGTTAGGCTCTCCCCTGCCCCCTGCTCTCCTTATTACATCTGATACTTTTCCATCATAACCATCATCAAGTTGAAACTGCTTCAGTCATTAGTTGTTTAATATAGGTCTTCTTCTCCAATATACTACAAGTAACCAGAGGGCAGGAGCCATGTATTTTTGACTTATTTTATACTTTCGGTAACTAACATGGCTCAGCAAAATCAACCATTCAGTTCATGTGTTAAATGAACAAATAAACAGATGTTCAAAGTCTGATTTAACCTTGGGGAGTGTTTTAGGCTGTACTGATGCAAAGTAGCTCTTGCTACGAGACATTCGATCACAAGTCTGAGCAGACAGTCTGCCTGGGGTCTGTGCCTCACACACTGTCTGTACAGGGCATTAAGACCTGGACATTGCTTCAGGCTGCACCCAGAAATCATTTCCCTATGCACAACTGCCCAGTACAAAAAAGTATTAAGAAAATAGGCCCAAACAATCTTGCTGTTCATTTAACAACATGAACATGTTAACATCCTTAGAGGCTGCTTTTAATACATAGAGAGCATAACTGAGATCACACTAGACATGCAATTTTTATATTGTTCTTCTCATTATAATAATAATTTTAGCAGAAGCATCTTGAACTGTGAACTGTATGGTAAAGAATTCAGACTTGGAAGCTAGAAGTTCAATTCAACTAAAAAAAAAACAAACAGGAATTGAACCCTCTTTTTCCTGGATACAAGGACATGATCAATAAATTCAGAATGATATCACTGCTCAGAAATAGTGAAAATAGTATACTTCAATTAAGTAATTAAATGTCTGAAAAATACCAAACCTAAACAAATTTATGGAGCATGCTGTTGCTGGTGTGCCTACATAAATCAGGAAATGACTTCTTTCTCACTATCATGATGCTTACTCAGAAGCTGTAATCATTTCGTGGCTATGTAACTAGTTACATATTTAAAACAGTGGGTACTACATGAGCTCAGGGTGTTACCACATCATTTAATACTCTAAAGTTGTGTGTGTACACATTTTTAAAGCAAAACATTTAGCAGTTACATAAACTGGGCTGAAACATCTTTCTTTAAAGAACAATTTAAAATACAGTCTGTGACTTAGAAAAGGCAGAGGGTCCCAAAGACATTTTTCCAAAGTGTAACTATTCCCTAATAATTATGAGTTGCACATCCCGTATTTTCAAGAGGCTATTCAGAAAAAGAAGCTCCTTCCAAAAGTATACTCCTCGCATTTTAAAAACTTGGCATTCTGCAGTTTAGCTCCCAACCCTTAGCCTACATGTTGCTTTGATGGTAAAGAAGCAAAAGCCCTACCTACCTGGAATGTCAGACAAATGCAAAAATAAGAAAATTCCATTTTTTATCCTAAGTGCAACAAAACAAGTAAGGGGCACTAGGATAAAAAGTGTGGGGAGGATAACTAGGAACATCAAGGATGACCCCTTTGAAAAGACGACATCTGAGCTAAGGTCTGAGTTTTATGAAGAAATCAATTCTAAGAGAAAGAACATTCCAGACACAGGGAATAATAAATGCAAAGAACTAATATGGAAGAGGATTTGACATGTTCTAGGGACCAGAAAGCCAGAGTAGATGGAGCCTTGGGAATAACAGGAGGTAAGACTGAGAGATGAGAGGCCAAATCATAAAAAGCCTTCAAGGCTGTGGAAAGATGTTATAGTTTTATTACCATTATAATGAAAAGCCCCTGGAGAGTATTAAAGCAGAATACTGGCATAATTTCATTTTTTAAAGCATTTTTTAAAAGATTTTATTTATTTATCTTTAGAGGGGAAGGGGGGAAGGAGAGAGGGAGAGAAACATCAATGTATGGTTGCCTTTCGTGCGTCCCCTGCTGGGAACTGGCCTGCAGGGAACTGGTCTGCAACCCAGGCATGTGCCCTGACTGGGAATTGAACCGAGATTGTCTGGTTCGCAGGCCTGCGCTCAATCCACTGAGCTACACCAGCCAGGACATAATTTCATTTTTATTTTAAAATGATTATCACAGCTGGTATATGGATGGATGCTAGAAATGCAAGAACTGAAAGCACAGAAGGCTATCCCATAGTCCATGCAAGACAGAGGCTTGGGCAGGGGCAGTGGCACCAGTAGTAGTAGCAGCAGCAGCAGAAATGGCACTACTAACAAGTACTGGTGTAAGTACCAATACCACCTATTCCGGGATGGCCACAGCAAACTTTTACTAAGTCTTCATTAATTGTTAGGCACTGTTCTGAGAGCACCTTATACTATTAACATAGTTGGGCACCACCTTTCATGTGTGAACAAGCCTATGAGATGTGTACTATTTTAACTTTTTTTTTGAAAGATGAGGAATCTGGGTCACAGAAGATGTCTTCCTCAAGGCTGAGCCAGGTTTCAAACTGGAGCAGCCTGACTCTTCTAACCACTATGATGTTTGGGATACTTTTGGAGACACAGTAGGCAGGACTTGACTGACTAGATGGGGAAAAACAAGAGTAATTTCTAAAAATATCTCAATGTGTAGTGGTGGTACTATTTCCTAAGATGGAGAAAGATGAGGGAAAGAAATACTAAGAGGGGGGGTTTTCAAGATGGCGGTGGACTAGGACGGAGCAGATACCAGTTCCTAGTACAAAAGAGAGAGAAACCTATCCGATCGGAGGAGGTGAGACCAGCAAGCCAGCAGTTGCCAAGCATATATAAAATAAGAGACCAGAAACCTCATCGGTCACGGAGGAACCAGACAGTAGGGGGGCAACAGCGGTACAGTAGTCTCTGGGACGGAGCAGGGAGAAACAGCCGGTGCAGGGTAGGGGAACCAGCGCCCAGTGGCGAGAGCCCAACGGCTCATGGGACAGCCTTCAGCGCCCAGACAGCTCCCTCCCTGGGATTTTTGGGCCGGGGGCCTGCCAAGTGGCCCAACCAGAGGGGAGCAGAGGTGATTTCAGTCTGTGCATAGCTCGGAGGTCCAGCGCCTGGTGGGAACTGTGTCTGGGAGAGTGCCTAAAGGCGCCTGGGACAGCTTTCAGCGCCCGGACGGCTCCCTCCCTGGGATTTTTCTGCTGGGCAGGCCGAGTGGCCCAGGCAAAGAAGTGTGGAAGAAATTTCAGCCTGCGTGCAATTTGGGGAACTAGTCGCTCCACATGCAGTGTGTCTGGGCAAGTGCCTGAGGGCGCCAAGGCACCCGTTCAGCGCCCGGAAAGCTCCCTCCCTAGGATTTTTGGGCCGGGGACCTGCCAAGAGACCCAACCAGAGGGGAGCAGAGGAGATTTCAGCCTGCACACAGTTCTGGGTCCAGCGCCCGGTGTGGTGCTGCTACATCCCTAGGTTTTTTTTTTGCCAGAGGTTGGCCAGGGGACCCAGACAAACACAGGAGCAGAAGGGATAAACACCACGCAGCGAGCCATGATGTGCACACGGAGTTTCTAGGTCTGCGCCCAGTCCTCAGATCGGCTCCCGGCTTCCAGTCTACCCCTCTCAGACTATCTGGAAGCCCCAGGCGCTGAGGGGTCCTGGGAAAAGAGCTGAGACCCTCAACCCCCTCCCTTTCTGGCCAAGCAAGGTGGGGGGCCAGGAGAGACTTGATTGATAGAGTTTACAGAGAGGGTGCAGAGGACAAAGGGCCCCAACCAAGGACTCTGTGGTTGCCAGCCCAGGAGAACTCAGAGGTGCAACCTGGGGCTCTGAATCCAGTAGACACGGCAGCCTGGTTTGCTTCACACCCAGCTTGGCAGCAAACCCAGGATTGGGCAGAGGGTCTGGGGCTTCCCAACTGAACGGGGGCAGGCCTGTGCTCAATCCTGAGGGAGCCAGGCAACTGGGCCGGTGCAGGTGCCTGCAGGCACAGCAAACCAGACTATGGCTGTAACCCCTGGGAGGGGAGCGCTGCGAGACTAGTTCCCCATTGTA